GGCGGGGAGGGGGGAGTACAAGTAAAGCTGAGTTTACAAGACTCAAATGAGTAGGCCATTTCCGAGTTGACTCAAGCCTCTGTTTCAAAGCGAGGCTAAGTGCGAAGCCATTGATAAGATTTTTTTTATTCTTATGAAATTAAACTCGCTTCCATAACAAAGGTAAAAGCAAGCTGCCATAACTCGGTTGCCATGGTTATGTTAATGTTGACTTACACGTCACGACGACTTTAAGATGTTCCCAGATAAATTTTAGGAAATTCACTAAGACCAGTTGTCATAGCTTAATGAATGGATTTGAAGTTATTTAACGTTTTAACGAGAGGGGTGCTCCAAAAGCCCCCAGGATCTGAATTGGAGCTAATTGGGGTAATAAACGCGCAGCTCCTTGAACGTCTTATGAACATTCATAATATTTATGTTGACAATCAGAATTAGGAATTCACACAAATAATTGTCCTTTTCGAGTTAGGAAAATGCTAAATCCATATATTATCAACAGTTAGTCTCAAGTGAGACTTCTAAATCTGTTGAAATTAAATATACACTAGTGAACACCTGCTTGTTTGTAAACCTGACGGTGCAGCGGCAGGTCTTTAAAAATACTCGTTTTGTTTTTAATTAGACTGGTTGGCTGAACAAATCATTACCTCCTGGACTGTAATTTGCATGACATGACTTTAAAATTTCCCATTTTGATGAGCACAAGTTACTAGTGGTAACTTGCGGTAGAAGAAGGAGAGCAGGGGAATTAAACATGAAGGTCCCCAGACTTCACGTTGGCGCTTTTCCCATTCTGCTGTTATCACTTATGGCTTCAATCTCCACTTGCGTTGAAGGTAAATGTCCTAGTTTTTTATTACAGGCATCGTTTCTCCGCTTTCCCAAACTTCTTGAGGAATTGCATTGCGACGGTACATCTGACGTTGAAAATTCTTCAACTGATGATTCTAATTGTGCTAGTTAACTCGAAAATTATGAAGGAAAAATTTTATTCATTTAGGTACAATGGGAAACAATGAAACAACAAAAAATAAAAAGTTGCACTGTTGAGGTCGTTTTAAAAATGTTTTTAGTCAAGAGCAATTGGAAAGATCCGCTCCATTAAGATTCGTCCTACGTTAGGAACATGAATGCAGTTGCTCGAAAATTATCAGTCTGATCAGTCCCAGACTGGGACTGTTTAGTTTTACTTTTTCCTTTTCACAATCGCCTTTTCCTCGAACAATAATGTACAGGTGCTTCGTAGCACAGGCAGAGCTAGGTCTAGAAAATAGGGAATATTTCACCAAAATGTTTTTAACTAAGTTCTTCGTTTTGTAACCAACCACTGACGGAGTTTTCAAAGACATCGACTAAGCAATACCGCATTAAGAGAAAAAAGTCAGCTTAATTCGAGGTAAATATAACCTAAAAATTCTATTCAAGCTCTTTTCTCCGGGCTCAGTAACCTTGTCAGTGAGCGAAAATTTTTCATCTTCCATGGAAAAAAACTACAGTTTTGCACCATTTTGTCTTGCTTTAAGGTGGCTGAACACGGTTTGGTAGGTTGTGAGTTGTTACTGGTCGTTGGGGTTATTTAAGACTCATTGCCGGCATTAAGCTAAAATTTGGCACATACAAAACATATTTATAAGGCATTACGTTTATTAGGTTAATCATAAGATTTCGTTCGTTGCCATGGCAACAGGGATGTTTTTTAAAACAAGCCTAAAATTGTGAATTCAGAAGGTTTATGCAAATTCCAGTCTTTTTATTAGCTTTTGAAATTGCACATAGATTATAATAAGCAATCGTTATTTTTTAAAGGCAACTTTACCAAACTGTGACAAACAGTTTTTGAAATTTTTAACAAAATATCTATTTATATCTTGTGAAATTGATTGTGTCAGAAAAGTCCTCTGGTCAACTTTAATTTTCAGGTTTTCAATGGTTGAAGTTCGATACTTGACAACAATTTTGGCAAATTTCGTTATATTCTAATGGGTAGATTTTGAGATATCGTCGTTTCTTCACATTGACTATGACAGTTAACAAAACAAGTGCTCTCATATTTTCTCAGTACGCATGCGCAATACTTAAGTACGCGCTGGGGTCACGCGATTTGACAAAATTGACGAAAACATAATAACTGAACTGTCGTTCAGCCACTTTAAAACTCCAGGATTAAAATTTAACGCTCAGTAAGTGCCTCTCTCGACGAGTTCTAAATCATTTCGCCGGTGGAAGACCGCCGATCGGGCCGGGCAGTTGAAATTAAGGTCATAGCTTTTGCGCCAGAACGAAAAGAGCATGTGTTCACACATAAGAGCGGCGGGTTCACACGGGATTTCTGTAACGAAGCAAAGCTACACCTCGCCTATATCTAAAGTGGATGGTCACATATCGCATAAGTGTTTATGCTATACATGTATACAGGATAGCTTTTCTTGTCGGCATGGATTCAAAGTGTTTCGATACAGTTTTTCGCAGACCATATCGATGTTTTTCAATCGCCTTAAAAGAAACTTTATCCTTGTCCGATCTCCACAAAATTTTCACCAGTGATTCCGTGGGATGCCTGTGGCACTCCCATGGTAAAAATCCGGTTCGGTTGTACCCAAAATTGCAAAGCCAGCCAATAGGATTGTTTAAAATCTTTATCGATTATCTCTTCTTCCAAGTAGACCAATCAGATTGTACAAAATCTGTATCGATTTTAATCGATTTGCTTCCTCTGAAGAAAGTCGAAATCAGAACGTTCCTTGCCAAATTTGTCGCCCTTGAGTTTTCCCACTCGTGGTTTAGGCCGGGGGTTTAGGATGGCTTGTTAACTAGCGAAATCCTTCGAGATACTGGCAAGTCACGAAAGGCAACCTAAGCCAAATTATTTCTTCTCTTCATGATTCTTTTTTGTTTAGGTCTAGCTTTTTCATAAGGTTTAAGTAGCGTCTGGTCGCGGGCCATGATTTCCGATAGATTTTTCTATTCGGAGTTCGCCAAATTTGGCCGAGCACAGCTAGAGTTCAGTTTTTTTCTTTTTTTATCGAAAACACCTTGACGATGGGAGGTTAAATCGCGTAAATTTCAACTCGTACCCTTGACGATTGACGGTGAAATCGCGAAAATATTGTCCTCGTCGATCGACGACTCGCTTTTGGCGTGGATTGGACTTCTGGATGGGACACGGATCACGACCTTAGTAAATTATTATACCTTAGGATCAGGGATAATCATTGGAACTATGTTAACTTTGAGACCTTGGAAACACATTGCAATTAATTTTTAACTGTATCAAGAGCATCTTGGAATATTAAACTTTCATCTTGGATTAAAACATTACTCGGCTTTATCGAACTTTGTAACCCTGGGTTCGACCCTGGATAAAGCAAGCGGATTTTTTGTTTTGTTTTGTTCCATTAACCTAAAACAACAATGTTTATTTCTCTTTGAAAAAGTTACCTGTGGCAACTTACTACCAAGATATGACCTATCTTTATACGTATAGTTAATCAGAGAGCATTATGCGCATGTTCTCCATTACTTGTTTCCGTTAACATTCCAATTTAAGTTACACGGCTAACCCTTGTTTTGATGCAAAATAACTTATTTTTCTTATCCAAATCGTGCTACGAAAATAACTACATAGCGATAGCTCAAAACATGATCAACTCCATCCTTGCGACCACTGACAACTATAAATTTAGCTTGCGTAGCAGGTGTCGAAAGGGGTAGGGGATAGGGAGGAAGCAAAAAGGGGATGTGGATTTGGGAGAAATAGTAGCCTGCCACGCAGGCTACTATAAATTCAGTCATAAGCACATTAAACCAACCCATACAGGTAACCTACTCATCGATGCTCATAACATGACACATCTTTCCGGTTTCCCTAATTTTTCCAAATT